GCTGCTTCTCCTGGTTTTTCCCCACTGCCCTCCCCAGTTCTCTGGCTCAGCAGCATGCTGAGTCTCTCTTCCTCCGCTTGCCCCTTGCATGCCAGCCCTTCCCAGAGTCTGGCTAGACCAGAGCTTGCAGACCAGCCAGCTCCAACCCACGAACAGGTTTTATTTGGCCCACACTGTATTCTTTTTTCATTTGAATTCATCTTAACATTTAAAAGCCAAGGGATTTTGCTTTTAAAAATATCTGCCTTCGTTTGAAAATTTGGAACATCTGGTGAGGCTGGGTCCCTCTTCCCATGTGTAAGCACTGGCTGAAACTAAATGGCATCAACCATGTGGTCAGAGTCAGCCTCTCCACACCCCAGCCTGTAGAGCTTGAGGTGGTTTGGGAGTGGCGTCCTTCCCTGGGTACTCCAGAAACCCACATGATCACCCAAGGATAATCCCTCCCCATCTCTCCCAGAGGAAACAGGGCACAAAGCCTAGTAAAGGTCAAACCAGTAGGCCTGTATCAGATGGCATCACAAATCTCTGATGCAACAGAACAGGTGCCTTGGGTTTAATCGCTATGGGTTAAAACAGTTCCCTCAAGAGGCCTTCTGGGACCAAACACACATCAAAATAGAGAGGTGGAGAGAAGTAATGGGGGGGGTGGCTATCAGCTCAAAAGGGTCTCTCCCGCCACCCTGTCCCTCCCTCCCTCCCAGTTTATGATTCAAAAAAAATGTTTCTCACTAGAGGTTGTGGTTCACCTGTGGGAAGGTTGGTGCCAGGCCAGATGGTGGATGCATAAACATGGACGTGAGAGATGTGATCGATCCCAGGGGCGATAGATCCCAGAGCCACTGAGTTTTCTTGAGTTGCAGTTCCCATGAGCACTTTAGACAGGTTCCCATTGATTGTTCATCTCAGGGCTTTGGAATTCTCTACCTTAGCAAGGTCTACTGTTTCAGCAAACATTAGCTTTGGATACAATGTAGGAATGTTGTTCAAACTGAAGGTTTTCAAGAGTTTCTTTATTTGTGTGTGTGTGTGTGTGTGTGTGTGTGTGTGCACATATGTGTGTGGGTGTAGGCAGACTCCAAAAGAGGGTGTCAGGTCCCCTAGAGCAGGACTTACAGGCAGCTGGGAGCCACCCAAGGTGGGGGCTTGGACTAGAACTCTGCTCCTCTGAAAGATCAGTAAGTGCTCTTAATTGCTGCGCCATCGCTCCAGCCCCCAAACTGGAGCTCTTAGAACAGGTTAATTTCATATTCCCCCCACCCTGACTTGTATTGAAACTGACACATAAAACATTTACCCTCTTAATTTTACGAACAGGGAATCGACGACTTCAGATTTGGAAATCACTTGCCTGGGGTCACTTAAGATGCCTCCAGCTCCTGAGCTTGGGGTCTTCTCCATTTCTACTCCCCATGGTGGGGGACATGAGCTCAGCCAGCACTGGAGATGGACAGAGGAGAAAACATGAGTAGTGATGATGACGATGATGATAGAGAGGAGAGAGAGAGAGACAGAGCGAACCATGGGGGAGGCCTCTTCCCTGTCTACTATGTTCATCACCAATATCAACCACATTAGGGCTGGAGAGATGGCTCAGTGGTTAAGAGCAGTGGCTGCTCTTCCAGGGGACCTGGGTTCTGTTCCCAGCACCCACATGGCAGCTCACAATCATCCATAACTCCAGTTCCATGGGATCAAATGCCCTCTTCTGGTTTCTACAGGCACTACACAATATGGTGTACTTACACACATGCAGGTAGAACATTCACACATATAAAAATAAATAAAAATTTGAAATTGTCAATAGCTTCAATACCCACTTTCTACTCCTCCAGTTACCTTATTATTGCCATTACCACCATCCTCACTATCAACATCATCACCATCACCACGACCACCATCAATCACTATCATCACCACCACCACCATCATCAATCACTATCATCACCACCACCACCACCATCAATCACTATCATCATCACCACCACCACCACCACCAATCACTATCACCACCACCACCACCATCATCATTAACATTATCATCATTCACATTATCATCATTCATCACAATCACCACCATCACAATCACCATCATCATCCCCATCACCATCTATACCAGCACTGTTACCACAGTCATCAGTATTGTCACCATGGCAATCCTGTCATCTCCACAATCACCACCATTCTCATCATGACCGTGACCATCACCAGCACCATCACCATCACCATTATTTTATTTATTTATATTTATTTTATGCACATCACTGTTTTGCCTGCATATATGTAAGTGCCCCACATGTAAGCGGTGCCCAACGAGGCCAGAATAGGGTGTTGGATCCCCTGAAACTGGAGTTACAGCCAGTTGTGAGCCACTATATGGGTGCTGGGAACTGAACCCAGGTCCTCTGCAAAAACATCAAGCATTCTTAACTGCTAAGCCATCTCTCCACCATCATCATCATTATCATCAGCATCATCAGTAGCAGCAGCAGCAGCAGAACCATCACTATATTCACTATAATAATCACCTTCACCACCACCATCATCACTGTTAACCACTGTCATCATTGTCATAGTCACTGTCATCACCATCACTATTATTTATCACCACTGTCTTCACCATCATTATCACTGTCATCATCATCATCACCACCATCATCATCACAGTCATCATCACCACCATCGTCACTGTCATCATCATCATCACCACCACCATCAACATCACCATCACCACCTCCATCATCATCACAGTCATCATCACCACCATCGTCACTGTCATCATCATCATCACCACCACCATCAACATCACCATCACCACCTCCATCATCATCACAGTCATCATCACCACCATCGTCACTGTCATCATCATCATCACCACCACCATCAACATCACCATCACCACCTCCATCATCATCACAGTCATCATCACCACCATCGTCACTGTCATCATCATCATCACCACCACCATCAACATCACCATCACCACCTCCATCATCATCACAGTCATCATCACCACCATCGTCACTGTCATCATCATCATCACCACCACCATCAACATCACCATCACCACCTCCATCATCATCACAGTCATCATCACCACCATCGTCACTGTCATCATCATCATCACCACCACCATCAACATCACCATCACCACCTCCATCATCATCACAGTCATCATCACCACCATCGTCACTGTCATCATCATCATCACCACCACCATCAACATCACCATCACCACCTCCATCATCATCACAGTCATCATCACCACCATCGTCACTGTCATCATCATCATCACCACCACCATCAACATCACCATCACCACCTCCATCATCATCACAGTCATCATCACCACCATCATCACTGTCATCATCATCACCATCTCTATCATTATTATCATCACTGTCATCGTCATCACCATCATCACCACCATCATCACTGTCATCATCATCATCATCACCACCATCGTCACTGTCATCATCATCACATCACCATCTCTATCATCATCACTGTCTTCACCATCATCATCACTGTCATCACCATCATCATCATCACTGTCACCCTCATCATCATCATTGCCATCATCATCACTGTCATCATCATCACCACCACCATCATCACTGTCATCATCATCATCATCACCACCATCATCACTGTCATCATCATCACATCACCATCTCTATCATCATCACTGTCTTCACCATCATCATCACTGTCATCACCATCATCATTGTCACCACTATCATCATCACTGTCATCATCACCATCGCTATCATCATCATCATCACTGTCTTCACCATCATCATCAACAGCAGCACCACCACCATCATAATCCCACCATTCTCATTATCATCATCAATAATCATCACCTCCATTATAATTACTTTTCTTGCCAGCCCTTTCCTAGCAGTGTGAGGTAAGACACAGGGATGAGTTAGATGGATCATTTTTTCCTCCTCACAGCAAAACAGACCTCTGAGCAGAGTCCTGGGAATCTTAGTTTTACCTCTCAGTGAAGGCCTGTTTGATGAAGACAAGATGGCCAGGTCCCCTCCAGGGTCTCTGTACTCCCCCACCATCTATCTACCTGTATGACCTTAGTGGGTATCCATGAGACCCAACATAGGTATTGGCTAGAAAAATTACCTTACAACCTTAAGGTGAGTGGTAAAGGGTAGGGTCCAGATACACCTTGAAGTAATCATTAATCAATTTGGGGGAGTTCTTAAAAATTTAGGAAGCATCATCGTGGGGGCACACACCTTTAATCCCAGCATTCAGGAGGCAAAGACAGGTGGATCTCTGTAAGATGGAGGCCATCCTGGTCTACATAGTGAGTTCCAGGCCAGTTGTGGCTACAGGGAGACCCTGTCTCAAAATAAATAAATTAATTAATTAAAAAAGACAACCCGACCACAAAAACCTGGGAAGCCTTCTTAGTCAGAAAGAAGGGTCCATAGGTAGACAAGAGGGGTCCTTATACAAGTAGATGGGGTCTTTAACTAAGAAGTCAGTCTTTACATGTGAGGGTTTTAAAACACATTCGGGAAGGTTTGTGTCTAGAAGCTGTATCCCTCTACAGGTTAAGAAAAAGTGGAAGGACTTTAATTCAAGAGGAGGCGTCCTTTACAGCTGAGGGGACCCTTAGAAAAGTGAAAGATTTTTATTGATGCGACTGGCTATTACTTGCAAAATGCTATATAGAGCAAATACTAGCGACCTATACATGGAGGTGAAGGTTTACATAAGGATGAAGGGACTGTATGTTTCAGAACGGACTCACAGTACTCCGTCTCTTACACGGACAAAGAAGTTTAATAGTTTCCGTCTCGGTACAGCACACCTCCCAGGACCTCACAGACTTGAACACAGCCTCACCTGTACCCGCAGCAGGTGGGCACCCAGGAGAGGGCGGAGCACCGGGCCCACGGCTGGCACCGCATTGCCCCCGGTGGCCGCCAGGGGCAGCACCGAGGCGCCTGCCGCACCTCCCCCTCCCCAATCTCCGCCCCCCGCCCTCTGGGCTCGCGCTCCCCGGAGCCCGGCAGACCCCGCTCCGCCCGTGCCCCGCTCAGCACCCAGGCTCCCGGCCCGGTCCGCCCCTCTGCCCCTCTGTGGGGCCATGGGGGCACCCCCGGGCTACCGACCCTCAGCCTGGGTGCATCTCCTCCACCAGCTACCCCGCGCCGACTTCCACCTCCGCCCGGTGCCCAGCGGTTTCGCGCCCCGCGATCAAGAGTACCAGCAGGTGGGACCACATGCCAGGCGGGGGCTGGGTCCCCGAGGAACAGGAGGCTGGGTCACAGCTCCTGCGTCTTGGAGGCTGGGGATCAGACCTGGGCTTGGGGGTACCTGGTAGAGGTAGGGCTCCTATACCTGGAGGCTTCCCTAGGACGCACCTGGGGATGCAGACCCCTCGCACTCTAATTAACGGAGGGCTGGGAGCCGGGACCTCAGAGTCCCGAATGGGAGGGCATAGGGCCCCAGCATTCCTGCATCTAGCCCTGCCTGGGAAAATCAGCCCCCAGGGTCATCTGAGGAAAGGTCCGCTCTTGGGGTACTGAAAGAGGAGGACCCCGCCCCTATAGGATCCCAGCAGGTTAATATGTCCCAGATAAGGTGGGATCCCAGAGGACCTCGTCGTAGTGGAGAGGGAGGAGGCTTGGGAGGGAGAGGCGGTCTGGGACAGGGATTGATATCCCCAAACAGGGAAGAGAGATTTTTTAGGGCCAGGGCTGGGAAATGAAGTAAGGATACAGGGTGCGTTCTGCCAGTCCCAGGTCAGAAGGGGTTTGTTGGGGTGCTAGAGAGGGTCGGGGTGGAGATGGAATTAGGTCTGATGCGCTACCAGGGGATGACAGGCCTGGTTCCCAGGAGCGTGAGGTTGGTGTGGGAACCCCACAGAAGCTGGGGGGCCCAGGGAAAGAGGCCCAGCTGCAGCTCCAGAGGAGGAGAGAGGGAAAGAGCTGTCCCCTGACCCAGTTTAATTCAAGTCCTTGACTTTGAGATTATGAGGAGAAAGGCTTGGCTGAGCTGGGGGCCCGGGGGAC